TGAAATGCTGTTTAAAAATCACCGTGCTTTTTTATTGCTTTGAGATGAAGAATGAGCGTAGAAAAATATGTGATCCCACTAATCGGTTGTAATTTTTTTTCGTATTTCAGGAAGCCTAAAACATCGCGTGGAACTGCTTCGAGCTGCCAAGGAAGCGCTAAAAGCTAAAAATCGCAACTCTGTCAAAGTGCACAGTCGAGGTAGCTCGAAACCAATGATTAACAAGACTCGCGCAAATGTCGAAGTAGGGCAATTCGTATTTCCTATCATGACGTCCGATGAGGTCAAACGATTGGAGGCTTCCGTGCGGCAGGACGTTGAGTTGTGGAATCAATACGTAAGTAACGAGTTCGGTTGATGCAGAGGTCCTCGAGTTTCGTATAACCTACCTGCTAATGCTACTTAGGTGAACTACTTGCGAGCAAGTATGGAAGCATACAAGGATCTAGCTGAGGTTCTGCGACGCACTTTCGGGGATGAAGTGTTCATCAGCTACAGCTACAATTCTCTGATAAAACATATCATCTTTAGTGATTGCATGTTAGGTAAATGGGAAATGGATTAGCAGTTCATGTTTGTTGTAATCATGTTTGGTTTCTTCCGCAGAAGCATGGCCAGAAATGACAGGTGCCTCTCTTAAAGATGCCATTTCTAAACTGATGGGTAGAGCTTATCTACGACAGATGCAAGCTCAGAAGAAACATAATTTGAGTTGAACAGTTTCTCTATTGTGTGTCAGCTGGCAGTTAGTTATAGGAAGCTTCAAGCAATTGCTCGTCTGGTTTGATGTGCTACAACATAGTAAAAGACTTATTATTCTTATCGATTTTCATTTTCATTTTTTTTTTTGATTGTGGCTGGAATAGATAAGCAAAAGAAAGAAAAGAAAAAGAACAATTAGTTGTAGATTCTTTCCAATGTTAATTATTGTTGTGATCGATAGCTTATTATGTCTCTGTCGTTGTTCTCATTTTTGTTTGTTTTGATGCCACTTTTCTCTGTATGGATTCCGCCTTTCTTCCTTTATTAAGGCACCTCCGCTAAGGCATGATGCAGTAGGACATTATGTGTAGATAAAGACAGATAAAGATAAATTTATATTATTCATAATTAGGTATTAATTGTTTAAGGTATTTCCTAAAACAGATCATACCGACACAAACGATCTGAAAACATCTTACTTGCTCAGCCTTCATCTCCTACATCATTAAATCGAACTCTATTTCTCTATTTTAGTAAAGCCGTTGGTCCCCGGTTCATGAGTTGATGGGTCGATAGGTAGGGTCCAGGTGTGGGAGGTGCCTTCCTGGCGTCGGTAGCATTGGTGCTCAGCACGGAAAACAAGATCGACGGAAAACATATCAAGGGAAAAAAACACATTAAATAGACAATGCGCCGCAAAGTGGATGGACCAATACCGAAAATCCCACGACCAAACCTCAAGAATATCGAAACCCAGAGCCCCCTCCGTGCCTGCCCCTCGGTGCACATTCAGTGAAGTTGGTTGATACAGTATACACAAATCAAATGCTCTAAATTGGCCACATGGGAATATTGAACACCATAAGGAAGCAGACAGCTATAAAGGACATTCCTACAATGCAAAATTACCACTACTAATCCATCTACTAATCATAGATGGTGACTTGGTAGGACATCTAAAGATCCTTAAGGATTTCAAGTTAAATTCAGCTGTAAGAACAATAGAAGATTGGATGGTAACAAAGACAAACTACGATGTTCCCTTCAAAGTGGTTAAACCAAGCCGCCATACATGGGAGTCTGGTGGGCCAAACATATGTCCAGGATCTATTGTATTTTACACGAACGGCTCGAAGATGGATGAAGATACTGGAGCTGGGGTCTTTGGCATTGGAATCAGTAAAATTATACCAATGGGACACACTCCCACAGTATTTCAAGCAATCATAGAATGTGCAAACATCTGTCTAACAAGAAAATGCAGGTTTGCCAAGATCTGTATATTCTCGGATAGCCAAGCTGCTCTTAATGCGCTTAAGGCGTTCACATGTCGATCGAAGTTATTATAGTCATATTATACTGGGTGCCCGGCCATTGTGGCATTGAAGGAAAAGACGAGCTTCTGCATCGAACTTCATCGGTCCGGAACCATTTTGTGGAGTCCCTGAGTGTACTATAAGGATGGAACTAAAAAGTTGGGAAACGTCCGTAGTAGAATCCAACTGGAACGCCACAGATGTATCCAGACAGGCGAAAAGATTTATAAGGCCAAGTGCAGCAAAAGCCCGGATGTTGCTTAATCTTAGTAAAAGAGATCTAGCACCAAAATAAAATGGGTCAGACAGCAATATTCCTGCACGCAGTTGTAAAAAGGCTCTACAGATAAGAAAAAAAATCCATCTGAACAGGATCACAATAAGAAACCACTAACCGTATTGTGCTTCCTCTAAGCGTATAACCAATCCCTAAACCTAAACCTGTTCTAATCCACCTGAAATGACAAACGAATGGAGGACTTTGACTACCCATCCATGCAATAGTCTCATTCCGTGCCTTATGGCAACTTGATGATTCTTTTGCGCTCATTTTCTGACACCACCCAAGGGAGACTTGGTCCTGTACCCAATGCTTAACTTATCTCCGTTCCATTCAGCTACTCGCAATTTCTTGTGATATAGTGGGCGGAATATTATTATATGAGACAATTCAATGCAGACGTCTTTCCAAATTTGGCAGATCGACAGGTAATCGGTGAGTTACCACGATAGTTGCTATTCAACAACTCGACAACGTCTCATCGTCAACGCCTGCTATGAGAATTTCCCATTGGAGACGCTAACGAAATAACGTCATCGAGCTATCGATCAACTACTCTGGTTACCTTTTCGTAGTGCGTTACTGGCATAAAGATCTACCACCGAAGCCTAGTCCGAATTATCTCAAACTAGGGGAACAGGATTGTTTTGTAATCAAAGAAACACATCTTAGTCCTGTTTACTTTTTATGTCTTGTTGATAGTGACAAAGTTTGGCTTTGTCCACCGAGGATGATCTTAAAACAAGGAACAAATGAGTTTTTCATCTACGTGATTTCTAATCCTGTATTCGCTGTACTCTAGTTTGAAGTGGTTACGACTAGGATTCTGACGCGTGATCATTATCGGTGTTATTGCTTGATTTTGTTGCGAAGAAATCAGTTTTTGACTGAAAAAGGGGCAAGAGTACTAGAGGAAGCACAGCTACGAATCAATGGCTCAATACTATAATATACAATACAATATAGTTGAAAGTGTCCCCCATTGGTGATCGGCGATCTAGATGGTGCCACACAAGGAAGAAGTGCTAGTTTGTTCACTAAAATGAACTATGACGAATGTTTATGGCTAGTTGTGCTATAATTCATCTTCCTCGTGTTTATTCGCAAAATTCACATGAAAAATTGATCACTTGCGTCGGAAATCAATTTGGCAAGGCATTTGTGACCAGCATACACCTTCCAGTCGTATGAAACTGTCCAAATCCGCCCGATTTTTTTCAAATATTTACATGGAAAATGCACTTCGTAACTTCAACTTCCATTTTCTCAATGCCTACTTTTTTCGTATGCGACTGATGTGGGATTATAGGTAGTATACATCCTTCCATCGTGGTCGGCGATCATGTGGCACAAAACCTACAAGACTTGCTAGCGTGATCTCACGTTCGCATCTTATTGCATGCACGCAGACGTACATTAAGTATCTGACACACTTACAAACCTGAGACCTACTACAAACGATAGGTTTTGGGATTTGCTTGAAGGTTGTCCCACGGCACATACACTACATCTACAATTTAATTTTTTGACGTAGGAATACGTCTGTGATTTCTATATGGGGGTACACAAAAATGGAACATGTAACAAAATTATGATAGATTTTGAACGTTAATAACTCAGCTGGACCCCTGGACCAATTTCAATAATTTTATCACCGATCGATCAGAATTATTTCTACGCTTCTGATAAATTTAAGACTTTATCATTTTTCAAAATATCACAATTGAAAATTGCACGAATGTGCAACTGTTGCTATGATAGTTAAACATATCACCGATTGCCTTGGAAAAGCGATTTCCCTAACACAGATTTCAAAGTTGAATTCCATCCGGTCTCACCAAACGGTGTTTATTCAATCACCGCGTGGTGAGTGGTGGTGTTCTCCAGTACACAACTGGAGCCCACATAAGCATCCATAGAAGGAGGAAGAAGCCGAGCCGCTATTGATCGGAATCAGTAGCTCTTCGTGAGTCGTTGTGGGCCATATGTGTCAAGCGCGTCATACTAAATAGTATAGACAGAGAGAACCCCGCTCCAATCCCTATTCCTACACAAAATACAAGCTCCTGCTGCAGTTAACAAATAAGATTTATTATATAAGACCACGTAGTCCTACGTTCACCCCATAGGGCTGTCCCTTGTAGTTTTTTCTTCTGTTGTTAACACCGGTCCAGGCTTTATTTCCTGTTGCCATTGGCCGATCAGCATATGTGAAACTTCGAATAATATGCCTTTCAAAAGGTGATGTCATTTCGACTAGTTTGCCCTGTTATAACTGATATAATTGAACATCAAAATGTCAAATTTTAAAATTGAAAACAATTAGATTGTCTGCAAAAACTAGTGTCGGGCAAGCGAATCCAGAATTATTTCCAAAAGCTGATATAAAGGGACAATTAAGGAAATTGTTTCATTATGTAAATTAGGCTGTCAATTACATGTAGACTTTGAAGCTGACAGATCATTACCGTACTACCTACAATATGTTTTCTTCTTTTTAGTTCTCTTTAGAAGCATGACCACACCGGCTAACTCACAACGAACTGCCCGTGCTGTTGAAAGTTGGAAACTGCTGCGGACGACTGATACTGTCTGATTTTTTATCACTAGCCCAATAAACATATTGTTGAAACCACAAAAACAATCGCAATTACTTTCGTTTTTAACTTAAAATGTCTGCTTCAATAATGACCAACAATTCTACACCCCCCACCCTCCCCTACCTGCAGGTTCCACCAGCGACCAGATCCTGTCGGCGGAGCTTCTACATCAGCACAACCTTCTTGTATCGGGCTCCGTTTCACAGCAGAAGACCCGCATCAAATCGTACACCCGCTTGAGTGCGCTGAGTTCGAGCCGCAGTACGGGCGTTGAGGGATTCACCTTCCCGCTGCAAACGGCCGAGGAAATCGAGCAGCTGGAAGCGGCGGTACGGGAAGAGCCGAGGATCTGGCATCAGTATGTAAGTTGGATCTAATCTAGTGCTAGAGCGACGTAGCCTCAAACTGTATCGACTTCCACAGGTTGACTTTCTGCGCGACAAGAAAACCGAAATCATGGACATTCCGAGTGTGCTGAAGCTACTCTTTTTGGACGAAGCGCTGGACGGGTACAACTTTAATGGCATCCAAGGGCGGAGGCTGCAGAAGCGCTCGTTGAAAATGTACGCCATTTTCGTCGACTGCATGTTGGGTAAGTATAACATGAGACTTTCAATCAACATAAATGAAATGCCAGAGGCTGTTAGAGCAAAGAGAGCAACCCGAAATTCATGTTTCTCCGCAGACGCTTGGCGCGAACAGATGATTGATCATCAGCAACTGCAGAAAGGCATAAGTGTCGCGATAATGGCGTCTAAGCGGCGCGAACGAGTTAAGCGATGCCGTGAGAATAAGCAGCACCGAGCCCGAATGATGGCTGAATCGGAAGCGAAAGTTGTCGTCGTCGTCGAGGCTGGTGAAGCGCATGATGAATAGCAGTATTAGACCAACCGAGCAATGGAAATCTCGTTCAATAAAACGCTTCAAACCGATAGCCTCTGTTATTTCGTTTTAGAATGGAAGTAGATGGTCGGTTATGACACCATGTGATTGAAGTTGTGTATCTTTTTAGATGCCTGGCCCGAGTACAGTGTGCAGATGCTTTGTAAGACAGTGGACGACGCCTTGCGGAAAACACGCCTCCGGCATGCTAAACGTGTATATCGAGCAAAAAAGGCTCTTGAAGAGGAGCAACAGATTTTCGAACCAAGGACAATCTACTTGGGACCTCCGCAGCCCAATGTTCAATAAAACAACGTTCAATAAAGTTTCTATATTTTTATAACAGAAAACTTGTTTCCTTTCGAGATATCGGAAACCTTCTTTGTAGTGAAGGTTATTGATCTATCGCTGCCAATGCCACTAACCGGTTGATTTCGTTTTAGTGCTCAAGCGAATCGAGCTGTTCAAACAGAGTGCACAGCATGGCGTGGACAATTTCATATTTCCCATCCCGGACAGTGATACCATCGAGCGGCTGGAAGCCGCAGTCCGCATGTTTCCAACCATCCGAAAACAATATGTAAGATTTCCTTAATGACCGTGAAGCGCAATATATAGTACAAGAATATTACCCGGCAGGTCGAGCACCTTCGTCGAGTGAAGGAGCAAACGAAGGACGTGGCGAAGGCATTTCCAGTTCTGTTTTCCGACGCAGCCCTCGAGATGTACAACTACAACGGCACTGGGCGTAAGGAGCGTCGACCTATGAAAGAGTATCACGTGTTCCATGATTGCATGCTAGGTTTATTCGAAAACTGGTTGTACGGGTTAAGAATGCTAAAGCTAACCATTGGACCATATTTCCACAGAGGCATGGACGCCGGACGGCGTGACCGAAGTGAATCTTCAGGAGAGCATCCACATTGTCATCAAGCGAGCCGATGGCCGGAAACGGGCGAAACTGTTCAACTTCCGGCGACGGATCTTCCAGAATGTTGGCACAATCTTCTCGGGGTATCCGGAGAACTTTCCCGATATACAGTCGTAAACGCAGGCCGCGAGCGACATGAAAAGACACGCACGCACGCACGCAATAGTGGCCGGTTGTAGTACTAGATCGCTGTGCTATAGTCGTACGAAGCAATATGCCTATATTTATTTTAATGTATTTTACCGTGATTCCAAGCTCGGCGCAATCAGTATATTTATTTATTCAAATTCAAAGCTAAATGAAGTGTTTTACTGTTGTGGTTGTGGGAGAAAGGGACACTGTTGAAATAAGTCAATAACCACGGCTACCTCCCTTTCCAGCCAGCATTCGGGTCGTCAGCGAAGAGAAGCTCCTTTCCAACCGTCAGGAGCAGCAAGAGGTTCCCCCAAGACCACCACAACAGCAGACCGGTTCGGTCAATATAGCCGGTTTCAGCTTCCCGATCGCGGATGAAGAAATCGTGGAGAAACTGGAGCAAACCGTCCGCAGTAACTGGCTGGTGCGGCAGGCCTACGTGAATCTGCTGCGCTCGCACATGCCTCGAAAGTCGGACGCCCATCGGATCTACGAAATCGTATCGAACAAAATCTTCACCCATCAGGCACTGCAGAACTACTATCTAACCGTGGACCGGCAACCGTACTTCAAACAGGCCACCCGGAAAGCGATGGTGAACTACGATATCTTCCAGGGGTGTATGCTAGGTGAGCGCCGTGCAAGGCAAATGAACTGACTGGATGTGCAGAAATGTAATGTGTTACTTTTTCGGTTTTTCAGAGGCCTGGTCGGACAGAGATGTGGACCATGCTACTTTGAACAATTCTTTGCGGGCGGTTGTGATGGTAATCAGTCGAAAACTGCGTAAACCAGTTGGTTCTGCCGGTAGGCGGAACTAGATTGCGTCGTTCAGATGGAACGTGACAAAAATCAATGGCTGTGCGCGAAATATTGTCCCATTATCAATTACGACTGTATCTCGATCCAAATATAATTTGAAAATGCTGAAAAATAAACAAAATGAAGCAAACGACTTTTCCATTCGATTCTAGCACTGCACAACAATGAGTACTAACATGTTTGTCTTGTTTCAGGTACGACTAGTCGCGAAATGGCAAAGTTAAAAAACGACCTGGAGCGCTCCACGGTCGAAAGCGGTTTACTCATCAGAAAACGTCAAATTCTGCAGGACAATATGCCCGAGCTGGTGGACAAGGATCAGGGCAGCCAATCGTCGTCAGGCTACAACTGTGGCAATTTGCACATTGAAATTCTTGACGAAGCCGATGTAACGGCACCTTGTTTCCAACGTGTGCAGCAGGACCTGAAGCACCAGCCGCTGGTGGCGGGATTCAACTTCCCTATCGCTGACGAAGATACGGTTGAACTGCTGGAGGCAACTGTAAACGTCAACGAACGAATCCGAGAAGAATATGTTAGTTGCGAATGATTTCTGGGTCTACCCCGTTTGGGATAACAGTCGTTTGGGCCTAATGATTGGAAAAAGGTATTTGAAGCTTCTAAGTGGTCAGTGGACTGTAACAAACCGCAATACATTCAATCAGGGTGTTTTGTTACTTCATACGTAGCAAGGCGGGAGTAAGCGTCATCCATTCTGATGATGGTACAGCACGCAACATCGCCCTACTGCTTCTCTCTGAGATGACTACGTTGGTCATGACGAGAGAAGCAAAACAATAGTTGGGTAAAGAAGAGTTGCACACCATCGCCTGGAAGTGCTTTCGGCAACGTGCACTCAAATAATTTATCACATATCTAATGGATGAAAACCATGTGAATTTCACATAACTTTCATGTGATCACATAGCTAAAAATCCCTCCACAAAATCACTTGAATATTATGAGGCCCATGAAATTCATATGAAAAATCATATAAAATTAACGTGATCGCATAAATGTTATGTGAAATTCAGATGAATTCCATTAATTTTGTTTATGGATGAAAATCATTTGCGTTTCCAATGGAAGCTACATGAAAACTATTTTCGGTGTGGGTCTTTAGGTACACTGCAATACAATTTCACGTAATATTTACCTGAAAAGGTACGTAGATATTTTCCATCGTCTTCCATGTGATTCATATAGAAATCAAGTGATTTTCACGTAAATTTTATCGGACGTTCCGATGATCTTCAAATAGATTTCTCTTAAAATTAAGTGAATTCTGTAGTAAGTGTCAATGGATTTTGTAGTAACGTTTAAGTGAATATCTGGTTCAAAATGCATTCTAGTTAATTTGTCTTTTGACAAAAGCAGACCCAAATAAAACAAGTAACTTATATGCAATTCTATTCGATCGATTACTTCATCCGCAAATTTAGTTTCAAGTTTTTTATTAGACTAAAATTTAATCTATAGTCGAGGGGGGCGACTCTATCTACGATGCAGAAAAGATTGTTTTTTGCTGTGGCTAGCTGCGCGCACGCTGAGTTGATAGAATGAAGATTGATGACGATTCTGAAGATTTCCAGCAAAAAGATGATGCTCGATGCAAGTAGATGCGACAAATGAAAGAAGATTTTTCGAAGATTGATTCGCTAGTGTGATATTTGTTGAGCATCTTAACTTGAGATTTAGATGTGTCGCCCCCCTCGTCTATAGTAGATTTTCAATTCCTTGATATTCAATGCGTTTATGATCAATGTTTGCTGTATGAAATAATGGATAAATGAAATTAACTATTAGTTTATTGACATCATCAAATATCGATACATACATTTATTTTTCAAAACTTCAGATGACTTTGTTGTGTCGAAAGAAATTTTGAAGCAAGTCGATTAAGATTGTGAGGAGCTCAATTAATCGGACCCCTCACTCTGGAATTTAATGTTTGATTTAATTAATAAGGATGAGGCGAACCAGCCTCAGGCTGAAAGCCTCCCAAATAAAGATAAATCATTCAATCAAATTAATAAGGATTAAATTATTAATATCAACCTTACGTTTAACATCAAGTAGACTATCAGACCTGCTATCAGGAGGTCTCAAATCGTCCACATAACTTTTACCAACATGATGCAAGAACTTGACCAGTCAATCTAAAGGAATTCATTACAATACCATTGAATTTTATGTGCAGCATGTAATTATTGCTGTATTACTATTCTTGAGAAGTTACCTGAATTTTCATGTGAAATTTACGTTTCTCGTTCGTTCAGTGTAGTGATAAACGTCGCTAGAACAACCGCACACAGTATATGAGCAAGTCAAACGCGCACTCTTTTGCCTGTGGATTTGAGGACACACCTCAAATCCCCTCATCCATCTCATTATCTCTCTTCGCTCAATTTCAACTTCTGTTCAATTTTCACACTGCCGTACTCTAGCGGATCTATCAATAAATCTTCGTCAGAACTTTCTCTAGCTAATACATTACCGCACTAAAAGCTTCATGTTGATAGTTGAAGATATTTATCCGTTGAATAACAGACTTAAAGTGGTAATTGTATACGATAGATGGAGGAGATGAAAGTATAGAGTTGATAGTTCCGTTAGAGTACGGCAGTGGGGAAATTGTATATAGAGAGTAGAAAGCGAGCAAAGCCAACTTTGAAGAAGGTACGAATCGGGTTGATCAACTCTCTTTACCAAAGATGATCAACCCGATTCATACCTTCCTCAAAGTTGTCCTTTCTCGCTTTCTACTCTCTATATACAATTTTCACACTGCCGTACTCTAATGGAACTATCAACTCTATACTTCCTTCTCCTCATTTAACGTATAAAATTACCACTTTAAGTCTGTTATTTGACGCTTAGCATCCTCAACTATGTAAATCGTTAACTTCACGCAGAAATAATACAAACAAAATAGTTAAAGTTCATGTTGATATTAGTATAGCATTTCCTTCCAACTCTGACCTCTTAATTATTTTGGAAATCCGTAACTTTACGACATTTAAATATATAGGGGAAATGACGGCTTCGGCATGACAGACTATTTTCGGCAACCTAAATAGAAATCATCATCACTTTAACTATTTTGTTTGTATTACTTCTTACGAAAACACTTCGCTGAATGCACTCAAAAGATTCTTTAGGCTTTCAGCTTCAATTTGATTATATTTTTACCACTGAGAAAAAGCAATGCGAAAAAAGGAGGGTTTTCTTGAAATGAAACACACGCACTACAAAATGCTGCTGATTTCGAGTTGCCGATGAAAGCACAGCTGTTTAACATGTAGCTCAAATAGAAAGGTTGCCGAATAAAAAGATGTTGCCCACAATAGTCGCTCTCACTAGAGAAATTGGAGCGTTGTAAAAGTGTTTCAAAACAGTTTTTAACAATTCTTTCGACAGAAATTGTTAGAGCAGCTGGCAGCAAAAGATTGTTAATAAACCAGTAATGCATATGCGTGCGTTCCTTAGATAAAAAGGCTATAGAAAGATGGTTGCTGCTTAGGTTACCGAGAATACGTAAATTCCCCTAATGCGTGACATTTTGGATTGATTCTATTATATTAATAAAGTGATTTCCCAACATGATCCATTTCCTTGGAATTCAATTTCTCTGAAAATTATCGTTTTTATCCGAGGGGGACGACTCTATCTACGATGCGGAAACGATTTTGTTTTAGTGTGGTTAGCTGCGCGCACGCTGAGTAGATAGAAAGAAGATTTATGACAATTCTGAAGATTTCCTGCAAAAAGATGATGCGCGATGCAAGTAGATGCGAGAAGTGAAAGAAGATTTTTAGTAGATTGGTTTGCTAGTGTGAGATTTTTCGAGCATCTATAATTGAGGTTTAGATGTGACGCCCCCCTCGTTTTTATCTTGGTTTTTATTAGCGTAATTGTTTGTTATGGGCAATGATTCACAGTTTTCAGGGGGAACGACACTCATTCAGATGCATTCTATTTTATCATACTTGCCTGTAAAATAATGTAATTGAAGAGAGTTTTTTGAATTTGTCGTCTTGACGAAAATTGAGTAAGGATAAAAAATATATATGGGATTCCTAATGGGATTGCATTGGATGCGAGGGTGCTTCAAATTGTCATGGGGATGCGTGCAACTGAAATGAAACAGTACGAAAGTAAAACATCGAAGTAGCCATTTTAGTCAATGCTCAGTGAAAAATAATGTTTGGATGGTGACAGCTGGACTACAAAAGCCCTCTACTAATAGAATGTATCGATTCCTCGACGAAACTGCAAAAACCTTTAATTCTAAACACGCAAACGAAATTTTTGAAAGCCGGCAGAAGCGGCAGCAGCCAGTGATGCAAAATATCATGACACTCACGTGACACTCGTCTTCGCATCAACCGACTATCGCTGACAGATCGTTTTGTCACGTAGTGAGAGTTAGAGCCATGGCAAACAACAATCACCAGTAATAGTCGCTGCTCACAAGCAAAACGTTACACTCGCTGCTGATGATGAAAAGCACAACGAAAACAGTGAAGACTTCTGCAGTACGATCATGAGAAAAAGCGAAACGACAGAAGAAATGAAAACAATGCCTACGCATTCCAAGTTCATCTCGGCAGGCGCGACTGTGTGAGTTACAAACAAAGCAGGCAACATGAAACGGAAGCTGTTGGGCTCCACTCACCAACACACTCACATAAGCAAGCAAAGCAGCAACTGCTTAAAAACGAGCACAGATGAGTGTCGTGATTGTCGGGAATGACCAGATCGGTGATGAATCACAACAGAAGGCGACATTCATCAGTAGTTTTCTACTTATTTCGTCAACTTGACGAAGCACATTGATAGGAATGTACAAAGTGTTACTACCATCAGCTGTTTGGCGATCGTGATTGTGATAGGTTGCAACTCTGGCAGCAGCTGCAGGAATAGCAGCATCGCGGATTCGTGTAGCCGTTACTGAGGCTGGAAACCTCGGTCCGGTCACGATACTGTGATCTACACAACCGATTTGCAATTCTCGACAAATTAACTTAAAAATTCTACCCTGAATTTGAACTCACAAAAGTGACTTGGAGTCAAAGTCTAAAATCTCTTAGAGCGCTTTCTAAAACTACCTTTAATATCATCTGAAATGACTTGTTATCCCTGACATTCATTCTAAAATCTACTCAAAATTCCAAAAAAGTTTAGTCTGGTCCAATAATCTTAAAACTTTTCAAAGCCCCATTTTTTTTTCTGAAAAATAGATTAAGTAATTTTTTCCCCGATTTGTCATTGAAATTCCCGGCTTTTTCCCAATTTCCCGGTTCACTGGTCATCCTGCTCATCCCACACCTGTCCTATAATATTCGATCGACTCTCCACAAATGAGAGAGCGAGATGTATCGTCGGATTCGTGCAATATTGGCACCACTCAAAATCTATGAATTTTCACATTCAACGTTTGAAAATTTGGGGTTCAGTTTCAATTTTTGATTCTTTTGATTTCCATTGGGCTGAATCGAGTGTGTTTCATTAATTCTTTCAAATTCAGATTAA